TTGCTGTACCTGAGCCCATTGTTGCAGCCACCATGTCAATCCATCTTGTTGAGGGCCTTCTCTTTTTCACTGACTTTTCCAAGCATGATATCCTTCGCCAGGGAAGAAGGATATGTCTTATGTTCCTTCTGATAACATGACCAAAGTAGGCGAGACAAACTCTGGCAATTCTCACTTCCAAGGAGCATTCCGACCACACTTCTGCCAGGACAGATTTGTTCGTTCTTCTGGCAGTCCATGGTACTTTTGGTATTCTCTGCCAATATCACAACTCAAAAGTATCCACTCTTTTTCGGTCTTCCTTATTCATTGCCCAGCTTTCACATGCATATAAGGCAATTGAAGACTCCATGGTTTGAGATAGGTGCATCTTAGTCTTTAAAGAGATATCTTTGCTCTCTAGCACTTTAAAGAGGTCTTTTGCATTAGATTAGCCCAGTGCAATACGTCGTCTGATTTCTTGACTGCTGCTACCATTGGTGTTGATTGTGGAACCATTGGAATATGAAATCTTTGATAACTTCAATCTTTTCTCCATTTATCATGATGCTGCTTTTTGGTCCAGCTGTGAGGATTTCCATTTTCTTTATGTTGTGGTGTAATCCATACTGCAGACTGTAGTCTTAAATCTTCATCAGTAAGTGCTTCAAGTCATCTTCACTTTCAGTAACCAAGGTTGTGTCATCTGCATATCACATGTTGTTAATGAGTCTTCCTCCAATTTCAATGCTTCATTCCTCTTCATGTAGTCCAGTGCCAAAGGGGGCAGGGAGGCCACATCTTCTGACCTCTTCTAACCCCACAATAAGAGGAAGACAGTATTACCATCAGTAGCCCAAGGCCTATTTCTGCAAGACCAGACATGCTGTCTCCCTCCAGCCCTTTCACCAACCCTGACACCAACTGTTCCACTCGCAGCACCCACCCCCTCTCTGTTGGGTTTGATAATTCACTGCAGTGGCCACACAGAACTCACACATTATGGGGTTTATTAGAGAAGCAATAGGCTACAATTCAAGTTCAGAAATATACTCAGTCTCTCACAGCCAGCCGTCTCATTCAGCAGCCAGCAGTCTCAGTAGCACATCGCTCTCTCAGCAGTGCGTGTCTCTCGTGTCTCTTTCTCAGCAGTGCATGTCTCTCACATCTCTCTCTCAATAGGGCATGCCTTTCATGTCTCTTTCTCAGCAGCATGTCTCTCTCACATCTCTCAGGAGTGCATTTTTCTAAGCAGCACATCTTTCTCAGCCAACAGTCAGAGAGATTCGTTCTGCCTCTAGGAGGGCTCCTTTTGGGCCTAGCAGAGTGGCCCAAACCAACAAATCCCAACATCAGAGTTCTACACACCTGAGAGACAGCGAACTTCCCAGAAAACTACTTTGTGCTGCTCCCAACAGAAATACCTCAGGTGGATAACTTTAACAATCAGGAGCTACTCAGTTGCTCACAGCAAATTCCACCATGTAGTTTATAAAGATTTATGGCCAGAAAAGCCACACTGTGTAATTTACTACACTACATCCAGCTACTCGGATTATCTGCTCATCATACAGATTGAATAAGTACAGTGTAAGGATACAAGATACAACCCTGACACACTCCTTTCCTGATTTTAAACCATGTAGTATCCCCTTGATCTGTTTGAACGACAGCCTCCTGATCTATGTACAGGTCCTCCTGAGCCCAATTAAGTGTTCTGGAATTCCCATTCTTCTCAATGCTGTCCCTAATCTGTTATGATTCACACAGTTGAATGCTTTTTCATAGTGAATAAAATACAAGTAAACATCTTTCTGGTATTTTTTGCTTTCAGCCAAGATCCATCTGACATCAGCAAGGATATCTCTCATTCTGCATCCTCTTCTGAATTCAGCTTGCATTTCTGGGAGTTCTTTGTCAATATACTGCTGCAACCATTTTTGAATTATCTTTGGCAAAATTTTGTATGTGGTATTAATGATACTGTTCAATAATTTCCACATTCTGTGGGATCATCTTTCTCCAGAATGGGTACATATATAGATCCTTTCCAATCAGTTGGCCAAATTTCTTCTTCCAAATTTCTCGGCATAGATGAGTGAGAGCCTCCAGCATGGCATCCATTTGTTGAAACATCTCAATGGGTACTCTGTCAATTTCAGGAGACTTGTTTTTCACCAGTTCCTTCAGTGCAGCTTCAACTTCTTCCTTCAACATTATTGGTTCTTGATCACATGCCACCTCCGGAAATGGATGAACACCGATCAATTCTTTTTGGTACAGTGACTCTGTATTCCTTCCATCTTCTTCTGATGTTTCCTGTCTCATTCAATATTTTGCCCATAGAATCTTTCAATACTATAACTCAAGGCTTAATCTTTTCTGCAGTTCTTTCAGCTTGATAAATGCCGAGCATGTTCTTCCCTTTTGGTTTTCTAACTCCAGATCTTTGCACATTTCGTTATAATAACTGACTTTGTCTTCTCAGGCTGCTCTTTGAAATCTTCTGTTCAGCTCTTTTATCTTGTCATTTCTTTCATTTGCTCTAGGTACTCTCCATTCAAGTTTCAGAGTCTCTTCTAACATCCATTTTGGTCTTTTCATCCTTTCCTGTCTTTCTAATGACATTTTGCTTTCTTCATGTATGATGTTCTTGATGTCATCTTACAATTTTTCTGGTTTTCATTCACTGGTGTTCAATGCATCAAATCCATTCTTCAGTTGGTCTCTAAATTCAGGTGGGATATAATCAAGGTCATTATTTTGGCTCTTGTGGACTTCAATTGCCTTCAGCTTCAGCTTGTACTTAGATATGAACAGTTAATGGTTTGTTTCATCATCCACTCCTGGCCTTGTGTTAGCTGAAGATACTGAGCTTCTCTATTACCTCTTTGCACAGATTTAGTTTATCTGATTCTTGTGTATGCCATCTGGTAAAGCCCATGTGTATAGCCACTGTATATGTTGTTGAAAAAAGGTATTTGCAATGAATAAGTTGTTGGTCTTGTAAAATTCTATCATGTGATCTCCAGCATTATTTCTATCACCAAGGCGATATTTTCCAGCTACTGGTAATTCTTTTTTATTTCCAACTTTTGCATTTCAATTACCAGTGATAATTAACACACCTTGATTATGTTTGGTCAATTTCAGACTGCAGAAGTTGGTAAAAATATTCAAAATATGCATTTATATTAAATGTAAGATGAACTCTGGTGGCACAGTGCCTAAGGCATTTGACTGCTAACCAGAAGACTGGAGGTTTAAACCCACTAACCACTCCTCAGAAGAGAGGTGGGCAATCTATTCTATAGTGGTACCACCTCAGAAACCCAAGGAGGGGTTGCTATGAGTCAGATCCAACTTGATAGCAGTTTGGTTGGTTTGAGATTAAATGTAAATTTTAAATGACACTTCCTCAAACTGGAATAAGCATTGAGCTAATGAGCTAATAATTCAGTTTTAACACTGATATTTTATTGATCACCTTTTCATGTTCATATTAATTAAATAGACTTGTATACCAAAAACAAAAACTAAACTTACTGCCTTCGAGTTGATTCTGACTCATAGCAACCCCCTTTGGGTTTCCGAGGCTATGCTACCAGAGCTCCTTATAGTTTTCTTAATATGGAATGAGTGTTGGAACTGTACATCTACATAAACAGCCATTTCATTTACTTATTTGTATGTATTGTTTAATAACCTAAACTTTATACATTATGTTCATAAATGTGCTCAATATGGTTATAAATGGGGAAGTCATTAGTTGGGATCAACTTGATGGTAATTGATTAAGTGTTAACTGGTCTAGCTCCCATCTAGGTTTTAAATTTTTTAAGGGATAGAATAAACATCCTCTGTAAGATTTGAGTTTCATAATTACTTCTTTTATCTCTATGGGTGAGAAGGAGCACTGGTGGTGCAGTGCCTAAGGCATTTGACTGCTAACCAGAAGGTTGGCAGTTCAAACTCACCAGCCCCTCCTCAGAAGGAAGATGGGGCAATTTACTTCAGTAGAGATTTACTGCTTCCAAAACCCAATGGGGGTCACTAAGAGTCAGAATCTACACAAAGGCAGTGGGTTTGTTTTTTGTTTTTTTCTGTAGGGGAGGAAACGGACTTCTACCATAGAACTTATAGAAGAGAAGAGAGCCTCATGAAAAGGCAATGGCTTTATGGGGTGGTAATATATGTAATAACAAGGAGGTGTGTAAGTGAGGCATATGTGAGGGTCACTTGGTCCACTGAGCAGTTCATAGAGGCTTTGTAGAAGAACTGATGTCACAGTTATATGCTGCAAGCTAAATAAACAATATCTAGCAAAGAAATGTGAGGAGAGCATTTTAGGACAAAGCAAGGACATGAATAGAGACTCAGAGGCATAATGTAGATGACACATTTGGATAGTAAACATTACAAAATGACTGATGTACTGAGTGCCTAGAGATGGGGTTGAGAAAGTGAATGCTGCTCAGGACTTTAAAACTCTCCATGCATTTCATTCTTTCAGTCACAGGGAAGATTTTAAGCAGAGTTGTTTCTACATTTCTGCATCTAGCAGAGTGACTTGCTTTCAGTTCTTTGAAAATGTCACAGATTGTTTCTTTTCCAGCCATTACTACCTTTAAATATTAATGAAATATACAGAAGCCTTTCAATGCAAATAATATTCAGAGGCAATCTACTGAAAAATCATCTAAAATAAAAATAATAATATTAACATAAAAGTAGGCCTTGGTAAGTACTACTGAATGAATCAATAAGTGAAGAAGTATTTCTGGGCAGGATTGCATGGGAATGAAAAAATACTTAAAGAAGAAGAAGTAAAAGAAGAAATGGAAAAGGAGGAGGAAGGGGAAAGAGAACAAGAAGATGAAAGAAGAAGAGGAGGAAGATGAGAGTAGTGTAAGATTTAAAATTCAAAAACTGTGGCAAGAGTTTTTTCTGGGTTAGAACCTTCACTGTTATCCCCCACACATATACATGGTCTAAGAGGGAGTCACATGGGCACTTCTCACCTGGGCAGGTACACTTCTACTTTTTGTTTCTTCACTGAGTTTGCCCAGTCTTCAATCAGTTGTGATTTGACCAATGGTTCCAGGGTAGCCAGTGGGACCTCCTGTCTGGACAGTACCAGCATCATACTTATCTCATCTCCCTCATATGGTATTTCTAGGACTTGGTAGATACCACCAGCTTCATTGGAACCATCACTAAATTCCCCTAAAAAGGAAAAAGAAGACCACAAAAACTCACATCAAAGCTGAGAAAGAAAAAAAAAATTAAATTTGTTAAGGAGCTCTGGTGGCATAGTGTCTAATGCATCTAACTACTAACCAGAAGGCTGGCCTATCTACTTCTGTAGAGATCCTGACTTGGAAACCCAAGGAGGGGTTGCTATGAGTTGGAACCAACTTGATGGCAGAGAGTTTAGTAAGTATAACTTGTCCAAAATAGTGTAAAGAACATGAGAAATTCAGGCATCTAAGAAAAAGAGAGTTTATTTGTAAATAGGTCCTGAAATTCAAGTGAATCCTTAGTCTTGCAGAACTTTTTTTTACATGAGAATTCCTAGAATTATTTCCCATTTGTAGTGCATGTTCTCTAGTCTTGCTTTTCATCTTTACATGATTAAATTCAAATGGATATATACTGACATGGATATTATTAGAAACAAGAAAGTGTCCTAATTAGAAAAAGAAAGCCTTGGCTCCAGGTTGGATGTAAGTCACATTTACCCACCTGATTTCTAAGAGAAAATTGATCCCGCAGTATCTGATACTACATAATTACCACAACTATAATTTTTGAGGCCAAGTCTACATAACCAAAATGAAATCTAAACCTTCAACAATAGTTATCTGGTGTATCTGTGATTATTCAGACATCCAAATTAGGTAATTAGGTCAATTAGAGAACTTGACCTACAAATGAGGCTTTTATAAACACAAAAATTAAAGAAGTCTTTAAAACCAATGATTCTGTCACTACTTTAAAGTTTTCCCATTTTAAAAATAAATGTAATGTTTTTCTAATAAATATTTTCATATAACTGATTGATTTCCTTTAGACATCAGATTAAACATTTTGGTTCTATTTTTCTTTCTTTCTTTTTTAACTTTCTTACTATGATTGCAGTCTTTGCATTTTATAATAAATAGAACAATTACTTGTAACATATATTGGCTTAAAGTTATATTTCTGCTTACAAATTATTTTTAAAAAACTATTTATAGGAAGAAATAATGCATAAATATCTGAAAAATCTTTAGAAATAATGCCAAAAATATTGGGTTGTATCAAAAATTATAGAGGCTAAGTAAATGAAACTATGAACGAATAATTATGACTGGCCATACATACACAAATCTGAAAGTAAAATTTTAAGGAAAAAAAAAAGCCCTTGTAATAGAAGAATTTTAGTAAATTAAATAGTGGTGAGGAGATCAAATGAAGTGCATGATGGAACATATGGTCCACTGCAACTCATACAAAAATGAAAGACATTCTTATACAATGTCAGGTATTTTATCATAAATAAAACCACTTTGTAGGTGTGATCAACTTTATAGATTTATGATACATGCTGGGAAAGTATAAATGCATATACTATTCACTCAGAATCTAATTAAACGCCTTTGAAAATGGAGCCAAGGAAATTTAATTGTAGCCCACACTAGACTGACAAGCAGTTTGAGTAATGAATATTTCATGCTCTTTCTTAGAAATTTGTTACTATACTGCAAAAAAGGAAAATAAAGCTAAGATTTCTTACCATAATAAAATTCCCCTTGTTGATACATCATTGGAATCTGGACTTCACTTTCATCATCTTTTGTGAAAGAAAAGGTTCTGGTGTTTTCAGGTCTAAACTGTGACTTCCAGTTCCCCTTGAAGTAGACAGCATTGATAAGGGCCAGATGAGTGACAGCATCAAAATCCCTTGGGGATACCAAATCTTTCAACAGATCTACCCAGGGAAAAATGAGCAGATAAAAAAATTTACATTCAATTGGAAGGTGAAGAGTGACCAAAAGCTTACCATCAGATAGGGTGGTCCAGACAAAAATGCATGTCCCTGCTGAATTTACAATGATAAATAAAAGGTATCATATTGTCAAATAAAAAAGTAATTTTGTTAGAAGGTTTTATGTGTGTGTGTATGTTAAATATTAAGGGCACCCCAAATGCCTAAACCACATAAAATAATGCTAACACTAGCAGCACCCTGACACTTTTGTGCAAACTACAGAACCATACACAACATGGAATTTCAGACTTCATTGCTTTTTATTTGGTATGATACATGTAAAACTCTTAACACAGGGTATATTAAAAAACCCAAACTCACTGCCATCAAGTCAATTCCGATTCATAGCAACCCCGTCGGGCTTCTGAGGCTGTAAATCTTTATGGAAGTAGATCTCCCCATTTTCCTTCCATGGAGCAGCTGGTGGGTTTGAACTGCTGACCTTCTGGTTAGCAGCCAAATGCCTTGTCCACTACAGCACTCAATAAATGTTTCTAAATATTATCAAAATGTGATCCAATGCAAACTTTTTTCCTATGTAAATTGGAAATCTTTCCACCCAATATCACAAACAAACTACTTTTGAGTACATGGAAATAGATGAGTGAAAGCCAAGTTAATACACGATGCATCCTTTCTATCTTTTGAAATTCTCTTTCTGAATCTATTTTGAAAGAAATTGGATCTCTATAGTTAGCTATATATATATATATATATATATAGCGAAAGGGGGGAGGCCTTCAACGAGATGGATTGATACGGTGGCTGCGATGATGGGATCAAGTATAGCGGGGATTGTGGGGCTGGCGCAGGATCGGGCAGTGTTTTGTTCTGCCGTGCATGGGGTCGCTATGAGTCGGAAACGAATCGACGGCACTTAACAACAACAACAATAGTTAGCTAAACGTGTGTAAAAGACTTTGGAAACAACCAGCTTTTAATAATTTATTTCCAGTGGATTATTAGTCTAAAAATAAATCTAAGTTTTGTTTACCCTACATTTTAATCTTAGAGTTGAAAAACATAGGACCAAAATTTGCTCCATATTCTCTCATTTTATTAATCACAGCACTTTGTAAGACACAAGGTCCCCGAACATTTTGAGGATAATTGGACAGAGCATAACTGATCAGTTTTTTTTCTATCATAAAATGTATTAAATTAACATTATTTGGGGATTTGAAAATACAAGAACTTAATGAGAAGCTAAAATAATCTACTCTCAATTTAGCCTCATTTGTGAGATTCTAATTTCAATTGCATTGTTGGTAAAATTGGAAAATACAATTACGAAAAATGAAGCATTTAGAAACTGGAAATACATTTTAAAAATATGAATTACAAATAAAATTTAAGATAAATACATCTCTACATTTCCTCTTCTTACTTTTGCTTAAAATGGGCTGATTCATTTTGAAGGTATTTTATTTTAATTATATTGTTGAGAGAGCTGCTACCTGCTGTTCTAGTATCTAATTTATTAAATAGCTCAAGCAAAATTCTATACAGTAGTTCAAAGTTACAATTTATAGGAAATCAATTTATTAATTTATAAGTGCCAAATCATATACATGCCAAATGATTTAACTTCCTTCTCAAATGCTTATTCATAAAAGATGCTTCTAAAATATATCGTTATTCATACTAAATAACTGTCATGTACCCAACTAAATGCTATCTACTAAGCAACACACAAATGAAGGTGATGGGACAAATAATTCTGGAGTTAAAACTAAATTATTAGAGAAAGAAAGGAGCCAAAAGACATACTATTTGTGTTGTTCTCCACCCATTTATTGATGTAGCTGGCCACAGCTATATTTTGACTGAAATCCACATAATTTACTTCTGCATTAAAGTATTTTGTCATCAGTTGCAAAAACTCATCATTGACATGAAATCCATTTTGTACAAAGAGGGAATTGGCAATTTTCATCACATACTGGCTCTCTTCAGCAGTTACCATGTTAGAAAAATCTTTCAAGAAAGAAAATTCTTCACCTGCAAGATGAGAAAAGGTAAGTACATTACTGAAACAAAAATGGTGTAAGATCAAGGTGAATTAAAGAACATTACAACAGAGTATACAATTATATTTTAAGAGAGATCAACAGGAGAGAGGCCAAAGGGAAAAGAATAAAGCTTATTCCCACATTACCCTGGTAAGGAGATCCCAATATCTGTCCTATATCTAGAAGTTCAAATGAACATTTTGCAGCTTAGTTATACCAACTCATACTATTTTTAATTTTAATTGTTATCTTGCTACAATCTACAAAGTAGATAGTTTTTTTGATTGTTATTTTCCTTCAAAGTACTCAAATTACTTTCATTATATCCGTGTTCTTTTATCATTATCAGTTTAATTATCTAGTTTAAAAATAAAAATATTCCTGTAAATTTCACTCTCATTGTATTTGTATTTTATTTTACTTTATAATATAAAGTTATTAGAAATTGTTTTAGTTCTTAAATGTTCAATGAGTCCATTCACATGTATATCAAAGGCACTAAGACAGAAATCATGTATCATGGCAAAGTAATTACCAAACAGTTTTTAGTCTGAAAATTTCCCAAATGCATAACTTTCAATACTAATAAAACATTTTCCGAATTACTGAATCTGACTCATAGCGACCACACTTTGGGATTCCAAGGTGGTATCATTACGGAAGTAGATTGCCCAACCTTCCTTCCGAGGAGTGACTGGTGGGTTTGAATCGCCAGCCTTCTGGTTAGCAGTCAAATGCCATAGGCACTATGCCACTAGAGGTCCCCCTTTTTTGTTTTGTTTTGTTTCTGTTTGAACAAAGAGGGTACAGTCGAATTTAAGCAAAAATTTTTGATCTTAGAGAAACAAGTTGCTTTTTCTTACAGCATTTATTATAGTTCTAATTCCTCAGTTATGCATGTGCTAACTGATTAATACAGGCCTCTCCCTCTAGATTAGAAACTCTGTGAGGGTAGGAACCATTGTTGCTTTTATTTGTCACAATGGAGTTCATTTAAATTAAAAAAGAAGTAATTTCCTTAGATTCATTCAGCCAGGGATAAACTAAAAAACCAAACCCACTGCCATGGAGTCAGATCTGACTCATAGCAACCCCTCCTTGGATTTCCAAGGCAGTATCACTACAGAAGTAGATTGCCCAACCTTCCTTCTGAGGAGTGGCTGGTGGGTTTTAACTGCCAGCCTTCTGGTTAGCAGTCACATGCCTAAGGCATTGTTGTTGTTGTTATGTGCCGTTGAGTCAAACCCGACTCATACCTTCCTTCCGAGGAGTGGCTGGTGGGTTTGAACCGCCAGCCATCTGGTTAGCAGGCAAGTGTCTTAGCCACTATGTTACCAGAGCTCCCAGAGGGAATTGCTATCATTCTTAGGTTTTCTAATCCCTTCACTTAGCCCTACCATCTCAAGATCATTTTCTTATCATAAGCAAGTATTGCTGCCTCTGGTATGAGACACTCATAAAACTGAGTTAAAGTTTAAATAAAATAACCTTGAGAAATCAAACTTAAACCTACTTACCACTTTTCAGGTTAGCATAGCCCATTGAATGACGGATTTCTTTCAGGGTGGACCCTTGGGCCCCAAGTTGCATCATTCCCATTGCAAGAGCAATGCTCAATGGAGAGAAGAGAATATTTTCATCTTCCCCAGTTGCTCGAAGATGGTTATACATATTCACTGACAACTCAGCAATGGTTTCATCAGGCAAAGTGGCCCCGAAAGCCATACTTTGCAGAACCAGCAGAGAGAAGAGTCCAAGAACAGCCATGTTGGAATAGTTTTAAGTCTAAAAAATAATAACTTACATATTAATTATCTCAGAGAGATAAAGTGAAAGGTGAGTTGATAGAATATTTTCTTGGCAAAGTTGCAAAGTAAATCGAACCAAAGGTTTTCAAACACATACAGCATTAACTTTTCTAAAACAAAAGCTCCATTGAAGGATATGTTGGAAAGTTCTATTTATAATTTATAAAGTGAGTTAATAGTCAAATTAGTAATGAATTCTGAGGATAGTTCCAGAAACATGATAGCCATCCCTGTGGGATTAAGAGCATGTGCAGACACATACACAACAAATAATAAGTCATGTTTGGTCAGGCTAAGTTTTCAATTTTTCATAACCTCACTATATATATTTTGGACATAATTTCACTACATATATTTTGGACATAATTTCCTGAGCTTCCACTAAATATAATAACTGTAAGGATACATTGAAGATATTTATGTGGCTTAAGATGAACTAGCAAATTATAACATCTGAAAATTTATGCTTTATTCATTTACTTAATGCCCCTTGTAGCTGGGTTACTGCTTGGTGGGAAGAGATCATATACACACATGCCACAGGTTCCAATGAACCTAACACAGGTGACAGAACTCACAGGAAATGGAGAGGAGGAAGAGACAGCATATCCTTGTGGGTGTTTTCTGACACACAGGTTCCCTATAAGGTTGCTGCTCCTGGTGACAACCTCTGGACAGGGAGGAGTTTCCTGTCAGAGTTGAGAGTGAAGCTGAATCTGGCTACAATTCTGTCCTTTTACACTCAGGTTTATATTACTACACCAGCAACAAACTGGCAGTTATTAGAATATTTCTAAACATCTGACTTGTCTCGCTCTTGAATCAAATTGAATGAAAACAAGGCCTCATTTTCTCTTGGGAGGAGAATAAAGTGTCAGTGCCCAGATATTTCTGAATAATATTACTTCCTCTCAGCATGCCAATATTCCAGAAGCCCTCACTCTGTACAAGTGGGTTGACTGGCAGACAGTGATGACAGCTTTCCTCTTTTTCTTATATTCTTATACTTTGTCACTGCAGGCCTGAAAAGTTAAACTGCCTATTTAAATAATTAAGAGGAGTATCCAAAATGGCAGATGAGGCAGATACGTATCAAGACCCTCTACAACAAAGACTTGAGAAACCAAGTGAAACAGATATGGAGGTTAATCCAGGAACCCAGAGCTACATGAAATATTGATGACAGGAAGAGATTGAATGAAAACAGCAAAAAAAAAGAAAAAAAAAAAAGGTGGCATATATAGTGAACAGCCAACCAGCACAGCATGTCCATTTTAAATTACTGCAAGCAATGTTCTGATCAAAATTAACCAGCTCCACTCACCTAGGACTGCAGCAGAACCCACACTGGTGATCAATGATCGGAGAGGTGTAATTCCCCCCCTTACTTTGTTCAACCTCCTGGTTATGAGACATGTAGCCTCCTCGACTCCCACCTACAAGGTGGCTGGTCAAACCTCCACCCCCCACTGCCAGTACTGTGTCACTTTTAATTTCTTTTTTCTTCTTAGCCTTCCTCTTTTAATTTTTTCCTTCCTTTTCTCTTTCCTCTTTTTACCGTTTTTGATCCCACAGAGGTGATGCCCTACCCTCTGTCCCCTTCATGTCTAGCAGTGCCTGTCCATGCCTCTCCTTGGTTGGTAGTGTGCACTCCTGTGCAGCATTATTTTCCCACTGCAGCCATGTTTAGCTATTAGCACCTTCACTGATATTGCGCTGCTCTTTTTGTTTTATTTTGTTTTTTCTTTCTTCTCTTTTTCCTTCTTCTTAGTTCTCCCTTCTTTTCCCTCTTCTTGTTTTTCTTTATTCTCCCTCAAACCCCGCCCCCCCCCCTCATTTAATGTGTGATCCTGTGCAGTGCAAGCCTACTCCTGCCACTCCTGCTTGAATGGTGGTGCACACTCTAGTGAAGTGAGCTCTTTATCTTGTTGCAACTTGTGTTTGGAAACTAACCTTTGCACCAATAATGTGCCATTTTTATTCTCTTTTTTCCTTTTTCTCTTTTCCCTTCTTCTTAGCTCTTGCCTCCCTCCTACTCTACTTTGTTTTTTTCTTTATTTTCTGTTCCTTCTATTTTTCCTCTTCCTTTCTTTTATTTTATCTACTTTTATGTTGATACTGCAGAGCAGGTTCCCTGCCCCTGCCACTCCACATTCAACAGCATCCATCCGTGACCTTCTATGTTCAGCAGTGTGTGCTCCCATGCAACAAGAGGCACATTTCTACTGTAGATATGTATAGCAGCTAGCACTTGTACCAATACTGTGCTGCTTTTTATTTTTATTTCTCTCTTTTTTTTTTAACTCTCTTTTTGACTTCTTTTTAGGTCTTCCTATTAGCTCCCTCTTTTTTTCCTCTTCCTTCTCCCTCACCTTTTTCTTTTATATTTCTCCTATTTTTTTCCCTAGCAGTCAGGAGCCAATGATCCTACTCTGCCATAATCACTACATCTGCTCCCTACACACTGGGTGAGTGTCACCATCTACTTCAGCACCAATGCATCCATGAGAAAAGGTAGCCAAATCCACTCAGCCTGTCTTCAGCTGTTCTGCATAACCAGTGATTGGAGACTCACATCCACACTTCCACCTGCTACCAAATCCACCCAGAGACAGGTGGTGCCAAACTCATGTCCAGAGTAGCAGGCCTGCCCTGTTGCCCAGATATTTTAAAACAAAACAACAAAAAATCAGGATGAAGCAAAGCAACATATGATAAACAAATTAATACAATAACAACACAATGTCTCAGAGACTACAGACAAATTCAAATCACATGAAAAAACAGGACAAGATGGCTTAAATGAGTGACCCAAATACAGGGTGAGAAAATCTTGTAGAGGGAGAAATACTATTAGAACTACCTGATGAGGAATTCACAAAATTTATAAGTCCTTTCAGTAGTTTAAAAAAGAGATAAAAGAAACCACAGACAAAATTAAAGAAAACACAGACAAAACTTTAGAAGAATTCAGTAAAACAATACAGGACAAATTGACAAAATAAATGGAAAATTAGAAAACATACAAAAGCAGCAAACAGAATTCCAGAAGATTAACAAAAAAATTCAGAAAATGATCTTAAGTTTTGAAGGACAGAGATGCAGAAATGAATCAATGGAAGACAGAATTAGCAAAATTGAAGACAAATGTCTCAAGATTAATCTGTTGGAGGAACAATTGGAAAAAATAATTTTAAAAAAGAAGAAAGATGAGGAATTACATAGGACACTATCAAGAAGAGTAACTTATATGTGATCAGCACTCCAGACCAGAAACACACACACACACACAAACATACAAAGAAAACTGATGAAGATTTGTTGGAAGAAAACTTCCTTAATATAATGAAAGATGAGAAGATATCAAGAAGCTCAACAAACCCCAAACAGGATAGACCCCAAAAGAAAATAACCAAGATATATCATAACCAAACTCTCCAAAATCAAAGACAAAGAAAGAATCCTGAAATCAACTTGTAAAAAACAAAAATTACCTACAAAAAGAGAACCAATAACAACAAGCTCTGATTTCTTGGCAGAAACCAAGCATGTGGGAAGGCAATGGGATGACATATATTAAACCCTGAAAGAAAAAAAGAATTATCAATCAAGAATTATATGTCCAGCAAAACTGCTTCTCAAATATGATAGCAAAATTATAGCATTTCCAGATAAATAGAAATTAGAGGAATTTGTAAAAACCAGACCAACTTTACAAGGGAGCTCTCAGAGAACCAAGAATAGCAGACAACAATTAGGATTAAAACACAAAACAACATCATCTGGAAGTCAATCCAGATATACAAGTTTCAAAAATAAAATAAAACTACAATACTGAAAACAGGGAACCTAATATGTCAATTTATAAATGATGACAACTACAAAGCAAAACAGGGTAGTTAACAGCCAACCAGCACAGCATGACCATTTTAAATTATTGCAAGCAGTGTTCTGATCAGATCAGGAACCAGATAACCAGCTCCTCTCATGCAGGAGTGCACCAGTGCCCACACTGGTGATTGATTATCAGAGAGGTGCAAGAGGGAATAAATGGTATAGTTACAAAACTTGCAAATGGAGAGGAAGTCAAGATGATATCAAGATAAAACAGACAGTTTTAAGCTTAGGAAGATAATAATAAATTACAAGCTAACCTCAAAGAACATTAAAAAAGAAAAACCATGAAAAAAAAAAAGTCTCAGTAAACACTAAAACAACCACAATGAAGGAAATGATAAGAAAATACTAAACAATATGAACTCATATCAAACCAAACCAAACTCACTGCTGTTGAATTGATTCTGACTCACAGTGACCGCTCCTTGGGTTTCTGAGGCAGTATCTCTATGGAAGTAGATTGCTCAATCTTCCTTCTGAGAAGTATCTGGTGGGTTTGAACCACCAGCCTTCTGGTTAGCAGTCAAATGCCTTAGGCATTATGCCTCCAGAACTCCTAATATGAACTTGTTGTTGTTGTTGTTGTTGTTGTTATGTGCCGGCAAGTCAAACTCGACTCATAGCGACCCCTCCTTGGGTTTCCGAGGCAGTATCACTATGGAAGTAGGATTGCCCAACCTTCCTTCCGAGAAGTGGCTGGTGGGTTTGAACCGCCAGCCGTCTGGTTAGCAGGCAAGTTTCTTAGCCACTATGCTACCAGAGCTCCCAATATGAACTTAGCACACAAAAATACATGGAACAAAGATACCATCAAACACCACAAAAACAAACACCTGCACAGAAAAACAGCAAAATGTGTAAATTCCTATCTATCAATCATTACACTGAAAACAAATGAATTACATACACCAGTCAAGAGACAGAAGGTAGCAGAATTAATATGCTGTCTACAAGAGACACACTTTAGATACAAACACACACAAAGAAATAAAAGAATGGAAAAATCTGTATCAAGCAACTGACACCAAAAAGGAGCAGGAGTGTCAGTACTAATTCCTTGTAAAATAGATTTTGAGGGAAAAACCAGCAGAAAA